CATACATCACATTGGGCCGACCGCTGGGAACGTGCAAGTTTTTAGATGGCCTGATGTGGTGTGTATTCCATAGTTGTGCTGTGTCATCCAGCTCATCCTGTAACATAAAACAGAAAAATTGAGTACATTGAGTACATCAGCTATAAAAAGGATTAGGCATAGTCACTGTTTTATGTCATAATTACAAAATAATGTTTTTTAGGTTGTACTGACTATTTGTCCAAAACTCAAATTCAAAAGTAACAAAACGTAAGACTAAAAGGTGAATTCAACTCAAATAGTGCAAATGGTGCATCATGGATTCTACAAAAGGTCAAAATGCAGTTCTTTGTTTTATTCCACTATTCAGACAAAACAAGTAACAGGCCTCACAGGATTCCACTACTTCTTTCAGTCTGATTCCTACACCTGTTGTTTTTATGAACTGGCTGACCGATTGGATAGACTGACTGATGACTAACTGAATAGACTGGTAAAAAACCTTTTGACCACCCACATGCATAATGTGCTAGTTCAAATCTGTACTGTGTAACACCCACGTCCCAAAATTTAATTAATTAACTTAAGTGAACCAGCAAACTTATTTTAAATAAACTGAACAAAAATTTTAATTATAAATCAACTAGAAAATAAGGAAGAAATAAAAATTAACTAAATCTAAATAAGATTTAACTAAGAAAGGAGAAACAGCTCCTATAAAGTACTTTCAGACTTGCTGTTTAGAACTGTCATTCATACAATTACAGTTGTTACCGAGTTATAGAAATACATTGTGACATTTCTTAGATGAATTGATTTTAAAGATTACTTTGGTATCTTGTAACAGTTTGACTTTTGACACAGTTAGAAACTTAATGCATATTTAAACGCCTGCTATTGGGTTAAAATTCGTTCACTTTTGATTTGGTTTTAAAAAATGATAGCCAATGAAATTGAATGTATCTTCATTATAATAGAGGTTTAAATGCAGCTGTCAAAATGCTCCCTTGTTGCTGCTGTAGTGTAAAATCTCACACTATAACAGCAAGTAACCTGCTCTTTCGTGTTATGACATTAAGGTAGAAAAAGTAACCAGTGCATTTTCAGCACCACAGATGTGTGAACAGCGACCACGAAAGAACAACTGGAGAATCGCTTTGTTTCATGATATTATAATTTACCACATAAAACACAAAGACATCTACTTCTCTTTGTAGAAACATATCACTTTCGTTATGGGTGTGCCACCGTCGTGCGTTATTTCCAATTTTCAGTGTGATGAAAGTATGCACCTACGTCACAAAATTGAGCGTTCGCTTGACATTCAAGTATTGTACGAACAAAATACTAGACAGTGAACGCCACAAATAACCAGATACCATTAATGTTGATTTTAATGTCCATGCCTTTCAGGCTTTCTTCCTTCCAAAGTATCTCATCCATCATATAAATATTACATTTGATTCAGTTAACTCACCTGTATGAGTCCCATGCAGCAAAACTGTAGAATGCTTTTGTCCAGAAATCCCCCATCAAAGAATCCATTGTTTCTGATGTCAGCAAACAAGGACAACCAGAACTCCATACACTCCACGCGCAGAAAGCGCCACCAATATTCAATCCTTTGATTTGCAGTGCTTGCTCCTTCAAGGTAACTTTCAAGAGGGTCGTTGGGCTGAGTGGGAATGAGGAATCTCTGAAAGTCTCTGACATAAACATTTTCTGTACCAAGATCCCCTCTAACAACTCTCGGACACCCTCCCAAACGCTTTACTGCTTCAGTGTAATACCCTCCTACCAACTTGGGATCACTACTTGTGGTGTATGCATTGAGCCAGATAATCTTTCGTGAAAATCCACCGATGCTTTCCGTTAATACAAAAGCCAAATGGCTTCAGTTTGTCATAAGAGTCAATGTGCCAAATAAAGTTCGGACCCTTTGAGAAGTAGTTTCTTCTTTGAAGACGTCTGGCTTGTTTTGAGGACACTCCTGCTGGATCTAATTCTCTCATGATCAGACGGACATCCTCCTTCCTTACACAAAGTCCATGTTGCCTGCATTTGGCATACATCCAACGATATTCGTGAAGCTGTCCAGAGGACTGAAGTTCTCTCCTGACGAATTCCACCAGACTTGCCAAGTTAGCAAAATAGTAGCGACGAGTGTGTCCTCGTGCACTAAGTATTCTTTTCAAATGTCGCATACTGTTGTGACACCCATGCTTTTTGGCAAGCAGAGACTGAATATTCTTATATTGCAGGCCAATTTCAAAATAAAAATTCACAAAACTCACACACGAGTGCACTGTCTGCTCCACTGTCATCTTCGTTGTTCTGGAACGCTGCCTCAAACTTTTTCATTTTGAGAGGGAACACAAGTTTTGCGAGGGGACGCAAAAGAAAAAAATCCCCATGTCCCCTAGGGGGCTCCGTAACAACGAGAGACTAAGACAGAAAAAACTAATGTAAGCACATACAAACACAGAACATCCATCCATCGATCCATCCATTTTCTGAGCACCCTTCTCCCTATCGGGGTCGGGAGGTGCTGGCGCCTATCTTCCGCTGCGTCCCGGGCAAGAGGTGGGGTCCACCCTGGACAGGTCGCCAGTCTGTCGCAGGGCAACACAAAGACAAACAGGACAACAACCATGCACACACACACTGACACCTAAGGAGAATTTTGAAAGAACAATTAACCTGACAGTCATGTTTTTGGACTGTGGGAGGAAGCCGGAGAACCCGGAGAGAACCCAGCATGCACAGGGAGAACATGCAAACTCCCTGCAGAAAGACCCCGGGCCGGGAATCGAACAAGACCGTCTTGCTGCAAGGAAACAGCGCTACCCCACTGCGCCACTGTGCAGCCAATAAAATTAAATCAATACAATATGGAATAAGGCCCTATTCCTTATAGATAGATAGATAGATAGATAGATAGATAGATAGATAGATAGATAGATAGATAGATAGATAGATAGATAGATAGATAGATAGATAGATAGATAGATAGATAGATAGATAGATAGATAGATAGATAGATAGATAGATAGATAGATAGATAGATAGATAGATAGATAGATAGATAGATATATATGTTGCAGAATGAATTATTTTATTGGCTTAAGCATTAAAACAATGTTACTTTTCTAAACTACTTGGCTCCAACCATTTTTCCCTGTCTGCTTTTTTTTCCATCATGCTTTTGTGCATCGATGCGGGAGAACGAGCGCGTATCGGTAACCATGGCAACGCCCTCGTCTTCCTGCTGCCAATGGAGGAACCCTATGTCAACTTCTTGTCCATCAACCAGAAGGTGAGTCTGAAGTTGGGTCCTTCAGCGGTGTTCATAGCCGTCAGCAACAAGACCTTTTGGATCGGCCATGCAGGCGTTCATAATCTGATAATCTGATGATGGATGGTTCACAATAGTTGTCTAGAACTCACTCAGATTATTCAGCTCTAAACATTACTCAGCATGAAGTCACTCAGAGGAGGATCAGAGCTACTGTGATATGAAATCCTCAGAAATCAAATCCTGAGTGAGAGTAAAGCAGTTTTTTTCCCTATTTTTCTCTTGCTAATGGTGATCTGCTACCCTTTGAGAACATGGGAAATTTTCTGTATTTATTTTTTGCAATCTCTTGCAATAAATTACCAAATTCAACCTGTTCTATTTTGTATACACAAATGTCTATTTAAAATTGCAATTGCAAAAATGTTTTATTTCTGTTGCATTTCGTGATGTTAAAGTTCACTCAAAGAAACCAGAACCGGTTGATAATCGGTGCAAAGTGATTGGGTTAACAGTGTTGCTTGTGACCTGACCAGTGCCCGCTGCAGAAGATGTCTCCTATAAAGGACGTGGTGGACGTGACGCCCAAGGTGAAGGCCATGGCCCTGGCCGACCGCGCCATGTTCGACAAAGGCATGAGGGCCTTTGTGTCGTACGTCCAGGCTTACGCCAAACACGAATGCAGCCTCACTTCAGAGTAAAAGGTGACAAATCCTCAAAGCCAACTGTATGTATTTTTTTTTTATTATCCCCAAACAAAACAAAGAAAATGAAACCTTCTCGTGTTTTTTTTTCTTTTTCTGTTAGATCTGGATTTTGTGTCCCTGGCCAAAGGCTTCGCGCTGCTCCGCCTGCCGAAGATGCCCGAGCTGAAGGGGAAAACGTTTCCCGACTTCGTGGAGACGACGGTGGACACGGACAGCATCCGCTACAAGGACAAAAACCGACAGAAGCAGAGGCAGAAGATGCTGGCCGAGCAGAAAAACAAAGAGAAGACGGAGCTTCCCAAGAAGAACTTTGTCAAGAACAAGGCCTGGTCCAAGCAGAAGACCAAGAAGGAGCGCAAGAAAAAACGCGGTGCCAAAAGGAAACACGACGAGGTAAACTCTGTTTGGGGATAAATGAAACATTAAAGCTGCAGTGTGCAACTTTTATTAATATATATATTTATATAGACATATTTCTTTACATATCTGTTGAAACTACTAATCTCCAGCTACCATAGTCTGTCATGAATGCTAAGGCTAGTTAGCATGGCCACTCGATAAAGTTTTCCTTTAACAGTAAGGTTTCTCCACTTAGCACATTTAGCAGTGCGTTCACGACATTGATTGGCAGCGCTAGGACCCTCCTCCTGGCTGCGATTGTTTGTTTTTGACCAGGAACATTTCATTTCTTCAGACGGCCATAACAGCTCAGGGAGGAAGTGGACTAGATCGATCTCACCTCATAGTGACAGTTTCAGCAAATCTGTAAAAAATATACTCTTCATAAACGTTAAGTACTGCAGTTTCGTTCTCATGGCTTCTGTTCTGCCTCTGCAGGACTCCGACATGGACGAAGAATACATGAAGGAGCTTTTAGAAGACACTCGCCTCCTTAAGAAACTAAAAAAAGGCCAGATCAGCGAGGAAGACTTCGAGCAACAGCTCACGAACTCCAAGCAGGAAGCAGGCGGACCATAAACGTCTGTTTTATTGTTCAGCGAAGGGACGCGGTTATAATACAGTTTGATGAGTTCGTCGCTGACGGCCGACGGGGTGAGGACCCCCAGGTCTGTGAAGAGCAGGGTGATGAGGGAGGGGGGCGTGTAGTCGATGACCGGGTGCTCCTCCGACAGGTTCCGGATGCTCTTCAGGGTGTCGGCTTTGTACTGTGCGGGACAGGAAGCACGAGTCAATAAATCTGGATGAAAGGACGGAAAATCGTTTAAAAAAACAAACACAAAATAAGGAAGCCGCACCTTAAACTTATCGGGCACGTCCTGTTGGTTCAGCGGATACAGACGAACAAATTTAAAACTTTCTGCAACGACGTAGAAGGGCTTGTTGTGAGCCTTGGAGCACAGAGCCATCTGATAGGTGCCAATCTGGGGAAAAACACACACACACACTCTAGATTCTGTTGGAAACGTACACCCGCCCCGTGTTTACACAGACCCGATCTGATACGCGTGTTCAACTATCCTCCAGTTTGAGTTCACCCGGGGCCGCCAAGGGAACGCACCTTGTTGATGATCCCTCCGCTCTCAACGACTCCCTCTGCTCCAACGATGACCAGGTCCACCTTCTCCAACACGTACCTGGAAGACGGAAAACTGAAACTAAGCAGCTTCTAAAAACAGGTTCAAAACGGTGTGAAAGTAAATAAAGCATTTTTCCTCAACTTTTGCTTGTTCTCTTTCTGAACCATCCGATCGGTTATTTTAAATACCAAAACAAAATTTACTATCTAGTGATGCATCAATAAAATCAGGTCAGATTTTCTTCTTTTTGGGCGAAGGGCCGATAGTTACTTGAGAAACCGATTTTATCTCTGCAAACGTCTGAAACTCGGCCACTGTCCTGACTGACGGCACCGCACTGTCACCAACTTAGCAAATTTGCTGCTGCATTTAGCGACTTTTGTGACCAAAATAAAACAAAAAAACCCAGACAAAAATAAAAGACATGTAATACTGTTGTACAAAAGCTAAACTCCAGTTTAGTAGAGTATATCAGAGTTGCTGGAGGCTTTAAATGTCACTAAGAAAGCAACATTTTTACATCAGTAAGTTTGTTTCTCCTGCTCAGGCTGATGAACAAATAACTGAGAAATTTATTGAACATGATATTAAAATGATATCTAAAAAAATTAACTTGATTTTTTTAACAATTGTATCGATTGACCAGCAACATTTTTTTATTTTAATAATAGCTTTATTTCTCTTTGTTTTCATAATGGAACTGATGGAGTTTATTTATCTTAGACATGTATTTTCCAGTTGGATATTTCCAATAACAAAATCCAACCAGTGACGAAAGAATGATTAAATAAACCATTTGCGGTTCCCCCTCCAGCTCAGAACCCCAGAGTAGCTTACCCTACAGCTGCATCCAGCACTACTGTTACTGGAACGTTGAGTTTCTTCAGGGCCTCTGCCATCTGCCGCCTTCAACAAAAGGAGAAAAACGCAGAATCATTTCGTGTCCTGTGAGAAAGAAACTCGTCCTCGCTCACTCGCTCACCCTGTGGCGTCAGGCTGCGATTCGGTCACATAGACGGAGAAGCGCTTCTTCTCCGCTGCAGCTTTCTCCAGAACCCGCAGGACCACTCTGGAGTACGAGTGAGTCAGGATTTTCTGAGAGGATTGGCAGGGGAAAGAAAGGCACAAGGTGAAGCGAGCGCAAAGAGCAAGGAGAGGAGACGGGACCAGTACTTACAGCTCCGTCTTTGATGAAGGTGTGACAGAGCTTAGCGACTTTGTTCCTGGACATGGAGATCTTCTCTAGAAACAGTTCTCCTCTTTCCTCCATCACCTTACAGCGAGACAAGTTTGGAGACAGAAACGCCTGTTATGAAGCGCAGACACTGATCTGGGTCAAGAGTTTTTATTTTTGGAAAAACATGGATCAGTGGTGACCCATACGAGGAATTATTGGCCTTTTAAAATCACACCAAAACAATTTGGAAGAAAATGGCGACTGGCAAATATTACAACTAACGTAAAGGTTTTGAAGTGGCCTAATCAAAGTCTGAATTTTGGGCATGCTCAAAAACGTGGCTCGAAATGACTCCGCAGCGACGTGAAAACCTGCTTCACGCTGTCAGCCGTCACAAACGCTACAACGTGAAACACGCGTCACCTGATGCTCCAGGGATGTGAGGCTTATGAAGCGCAGGAACAGCTCTCCCCCGGAGGACACGGCCACAGAGGAGTCCTCTCCCTTCAGGCAGGATGTGGCCCACGTCAGGCTCTCCCTCAGACCCAAGATGGTTTCACCTGGACGGAAGGACAGACATTCAGACTGAGCCAAACACATACACGTCCTGATTAAAGCTGCAGCCATCTATGATTTGACAATTGATTAATCGGACAAAAAAACATCGGCATTTTGCAGATTTTTGTATTTAAGCCTGTTTTACACATTAGAAATACAACAAAACACACACAAAACATAATTCAGTTTAAGTCAGTTTTAAAAAAAATTGCAATATGTAGCATGAAAGCATCATTTGTAGCAAAGGTTGCATCTGCAGTTAAAAAAATACTGTCTACTAATGTTCTTTTTTAAATTCATGGTTAGCAAATGGTGATTAATATACATATTTTTAACAGACTTTAAGCCAATGGAAGCCAGGCAACATCGCAGCATCCTCAGATTGTGACTTGGTTAGCTGAAGGTTTTTGGAACGGCTCATTTTCCAGACACCAAAACAGGTTGTTGCTAGGTAATGAAAGAGCGAGAGCTGAGAGGTTGAGCGCTGAAGACTTTACTCTGCCTTCATCCCCAGAATGCTGTGCGGTTCTGGATTGGTGTTTCGTGAATAATCTATGAATTGAACATTAAACTTTCTATGAGACGTATTATTGTTGATAACACCTGTGTATTGCGATATGTGCATCACTGATTTATACTCTTAGGATGTGCTCTTGTATTGTAGAAGCTTCAAAGTGAGATTTGACTCATTTGAGTTGAGTAGAGGATCAATATGATGGCATATTATGATTTGAGTTCCTCCCACTGATAAAGTGATCAATTTCTTACCCATTTCCATTCGTCGTAATTTATTGACCAGAGTCGCATCTATGCTGATTGGTCTATATTTAACTTGGAATGAATTGCTAGTAAAATATTCTGTAAGGGTAACCCTGTTGTACTAATCCTAATACTGCATGATACCGGAGTGCAATATTCATGTCGCAATTGACTGTTTGGAGTAGTAAGTGTTGCTTCACCAGTTGGACGGTCTATTGGCAGGAGACGCTCTAATCAGATAGAGATGACGTTGCACAAAATGCTTAATTTCACAGGTCGATGGAAGCGCAGATTAGGAAAAATATAGACAGTCGCTGTATTATCGCAAGAGTGAGAGACCACAGGCTGCGGGTTAAAGATCACAAGTACATCTCTCTCCTCATAGAGAAGAAAAAGACGTAGCAGCGATGGATAGTGGTGTTACATGGGTCAACTTTTCACTACTTCACTTTTTTCCCTGTCATTTTTTTTTAAACCTTCCATAAAAATTGAACATTACTGAAAATTTCTTTTGAGATCTAGGCGAGTGGGCCTTTATTTGAGTTGTTGTGCTTTTGTGGATTATACAATGGTAATAAAAATTGTCAAAAAAGAATTTACCACATATCTGCCCCATACAGAGCTTCATAAGCCTGACGGGCCTCCAGGCTTACTCCCCCACCAGGCTGCATTGTTTTTATTCATTTGTTTGTACACCAGTAACTGTGATGGCAAACAAAGACGGGTTAACAAGCCTCTCGTTAGTGAAACTGTTGGAAGCACAATGGCAACATCGTATGCCAGTATGCGCATATATAGGGAGCCAGAGGTCAGGAGTTTTTATTTTACACAATTTGAGTTGTTTTTGTTTAACTCAAACACAGCAGCGCCTCCTACCACCAGCCTTAGCAAGTTTTCTGGGTGAAACTGCACCCTTTTCATTATTTCTTACCCAGATATTGTTCTCTCTTCAGATAACTGGGCCTGATGGTAAACAGATTTACAAAGGAGACAGAGAGTCGAGTGGGAAATACTCCGTGGCTGCACACATGGACGGAACCTACAAGTTCTGCTTCAGCAACAAGATGTCCACCATGACGCCCAAGATCGTCATGTTCACCATCGACATCGGAGAGGCGCCGAAAGGCCAGGACATGGAGACGGAAGGTACTCAGATCGGCCACGTCTGAGTACACGGCCCGTTTTATGTGATGCTGTTTCTATTTTAAAGATTTTCTCGTTTGAATTTTTTTTGACTTTACTTGGGTAAATTTCCCTCCTTTATAGGTGGTGACAGCTGGGATGGTAGGAAAAAAGAAGGCAGAATAAGTGAAAACTGTCATATTAAATTTGGGATGCACTGTGGAGTTTCTAACCAGTCTTTGATATTATAAACTAATATTAGATGTTGTTTGCAACAGATGCGGCCTTAATGTTTGTTTTTTTTAACTGTTTGCACTGAGTATCAGAGAAATGGTGTGCTATGAAAAAGTATCTGCTTCTTTTATGGATTTCAGCAGGTTTAGCTCGTCTTTCTTGGTACTGAAGAGCATCAGACAGAAATGAACCGATGAACATGCAGTGTCAGTTTAAGGTTACTTTGCAGCATCTCAATCCACTTTAAGCGTACACAGTGACCCAACTGCTCAGCAACCTTCCATTTTGTTTGGGTTGAACCTGCTGCATAAACATCCAAACACTTGATTATTTCAAGAATTTTCATTTAGAGAGAAGAAAGAAAAATTATGGTTTCAGCACATCATTCATGTCTTAAAACGGCAAAGCAGCAGACCATCATACTACCACTACCATGCTTCACTGTTTGTATGGTTCACTTTTCTGAAAAGTGGGGCAACTTTCCCCAAAAAAAGTTCCACTAGAGAGACATTAGGGGCAGGGTCTCGTCAAGTCCCATTTTGACAGGTCCCCTTTGACCTAATTCCCCCCCCCCCCCCCCTCCCCCCCCCCCCCCCCTCCTCCTCCTCCTCCTCCCTCCTCCCAGAGGAGGAGGAGGAGGCTGTTTTACATGAGAGACTGTTTTACATGAGCTGAAATCAGCAAACAGAATCCAAACCGCAATTAATGAGATGTATCAAAAAATGGAGGATGATGAAAACAGTCTCTGCAATCACCTTCACTTTTGCGTCCTCTGCCAGAATGCGCCGCCGGGTCAGGAGCTCCTGTACAGCCGGTATGAAGCGCGGGTTAGAAGTCGTTGCTTCATGGTATGAAAGTTGAGCTGATAGAAATCTTCCTCAGGAATTTCTAGACATATATGCTGTCTCTGGGATGGGTGATCAATCCGGCACCGTGACAAATTTCTTTGATATATTTCACACAAATCAAGTTGAATAGATGTAGCACGGCTGTTTTTACATTAGCAATTAGCGTGCTCTGTACCCACCCGTCAATTTCATCTTCTTGCTCCATGGGAGATGGCGGGGGTTCGCTGTAGCAGGTACCAGAATGTTCCATAGCAGTGCTGTAGGTTGGGAGTAGTCGCCAGACCCAGTAGCTGGCTCTCCTGAGGCGTCCGCAGCAGCAGAGCCAGCAGAGCCGGTAGCAGGATCTCCAGAGCCCGCGGGTGGATCTCCAGAGCCACCCGCAGGAGCAGCAGCAGCAGCCGGCGGAAATAGACGGTAGCTCTCTAGATCGAAGGTACTTGCAGGCAGAAAATGACTAGGAGACAGAGCTGGGGAGGAATCCGTAGAAGAAGAACCATAATACACAGGAGATGATGGCATGTGATAGCCACCCATGGTGGTGTAACTCCCAGGAGACGGCGGGTAGAACATGCTGTCTGTCGAATAACACGCGTCCCCCGCGCCGTATGTTGACCCCCATAGTCCTGAATATCCAGCTTGCTGCATTCTTGAGGTCTAGCATCTGAAACCCCGTGCAAGCCTTCCCTATGTATATATAGGGGGGGCGGGTCCTTAGAAGAGGACGCGTCTTAGAGGTACGGGGTGGACTGGAAACGACAGCGTTTTCTTAACTGATAGAATATCGAGCCAGCTGCGAGAATCCCGAAACAGATTGGAGATTCTATCCCCGACTTTTATCATTTTCTCAGACCAGGCATCATATGGGAGAGCTAGCATGGTTCTGAACACCCCACAGTCCAAATTGTAAGCCTCCAATACAAACATATCCGGAGAATTTTCCCTCTCACCTGTCCTCCTGCTCGCCTGAACGACCACCGACCGGATTCAGTAGCTTTCGATTCCCAAATAGCGCTGAAGAGAACTCCTCCCCTTCCAATTTCAGTGTCGGTAGGGAAGCGCTGTCTCTTCTTCTTCTTTTTTTTCCCAGATTGAGGCTCGGCATCCGTCGTAGTTTCCTCCTCTGAGCGCCGTAATTCCATGTCCTCGTTGGCACGGGGAACTGCCAGTCTTAGAACTGTCCAGTCATTATACGTCAAACTGCAGGTATTTGATAAAGATGCAAGTTCCTCTTCCTTATCCAGCTGGTAGAAGAGAAGCTCCCCAGTTTCATATCGGAATACGTATCCCCACGACCCCCACAGTCCATGAGGTTCCAAAGACCATTCTTCTTTAAGGGTCGTCCATACAGGCTTCTGTACACGACATAAAAAATAGGTCGATTTCCGGGGGCATCCGCCCCCTTCCTCGAGTTGTCATAGATAGATACAGGGGTCTCACACAGGAGAGATGTCCCGCTCGTCAATACTTCTCTTTTATCCGGTATTTCAGAGGTTGTTGCATCAGGTGATGCATCAGCTGATGAAGGTGAGCTTGTAGGATGACCATTAACAGGCTGCAGGTTAGGATTCACAGCTATCGGTACCTCATACACATTAGTTTGTTGTTGTTGTTCAGCAAGCCATGCCTTACTCACTACCGGGGTTAGCCATTATCTCGAAGATATCGACCGGTTTTTTTTTTTGAAATGTCCTCCTTTGGGGTTGAAAAGATGATGGAGGGGTGATAGATTCACTATCCTCAACAGCAGAATGAACTCGTTTATTCCCATTCATTGTAGACTTCTACTAGAACCGACTGTTACAAGTAGAGCACTCCATTTTTTCCCCCCCGCCCCCTTAGCATTACTTATAGAAGAAAATACTAAAAGACCAAACCCTCTCTCTTTCTATTGGCTCATTCAGACTCATGACAGATACGGAGGGGGAGGGATGTAATCTGAACACCGAGCTATATGGAGGGAGGTCCTGAGAAAAACTCTTTTAGACAAAGAGCGATAAACTGAGAAAAAAAAAAAAAAAAAAAAAAAACCAGATGTCGCTCTGGTTTGCCCCCTTCATGAACCAAGGATCAGCGGGGGTTCATGAGCTAGCTAATTTGTCATTCTGTATCGCTCTGAATTCCCATCCCCGAGGTGGCTAATTTATCATTCTGTCTGTATCCAGCAAAGTTCGCACCTACTTGCAAGCAAGCAAGCAAGCAAGCAAGCCTCTGCGTATCGCAGCTCGGACCTCCAATTCTATGCCTGGCTGAATAAAGACACAGAATCAGAAGCAACATCTCCATTTCCAAATCTATTTCAACTTCACTACATAATTATATACATTTTTTTTTTACTTGGTTAAATAATTGTTGTTGTTGTTGTTGGGTGCTGTATTACTCTTAAAAAGAAAGTCAGATATACGACATTTTCTGAATTCAGCAGAGAGAAAACAGAAAAAACCTAACACACAGACCATATGGATTTCACAGCCCGTACCCTATATTTGATCAAACCCCCACAGCTCAGACCACAGTTGTACACCAGTCGCAGAATCAGAAGCAACATCTCCATTCCAAATCTATTTCAACTTCAGTAGACATAGTATATAATTATATACATTTTTCTTGATTAAATAACTGTTGTTGTATTGGTATTACTCTTTAAAAAGATAAAAATCAATAGGAGGAGGAGGAGGAGGAGGAGGGGAAGGTGGGGGGGGGGGGGGGGGGGAGGAGAAGGAGGAGGAGGAGGGGGGGGGGGGGGGGGGGGGGGGGGGGGGGGGGGAGGGGGAAGGAGGGAGGAGGAGGGGGGGGGGGGGGGGAGGGAGGAGGGGGG